TTAAGGCCGAAAATGCATCAAAATCGCATAATTTCACCATTCCGGACCCGGATCTCAGTTATGCATGGACGGATTTTGTTCAAATTTGGTACATACATTAAACATAATAGAACCTTGATGCACGTCATTTTTTTTTTGGATCGGGTTTGGAATGGCCGACTGGCGGCCATTTTGTTTTAAAGAATTCAGTTCTGGGTTCGTATCTGAGACATGCCTGGATTGATCGAGTTCAAACTTCACACACACAAGGTACATCATGGCACAAATATGTATGTGTATTTGTTTCATGATCCGCTTAACAATAGCTGAATGATGGCCATTTTAAGGCTGAAAATGCATCAAAATCACGCATTTTCACAATTCCGGAACCGGATCTCAGTCATGCATGGATGGATTTTGTTCAGATTTAGTACAATGTGTTGTACATATGCAGGTGTATTTCGGTCATGATCTGCTTTGAATGTATATGTCACTCAAATATGAACGGAGCAGGGACGTGTCATTGACAATGACTTGTTTTGAAATATTTTTGTCTCGCACGTTTAGTTCTATTGTTCTCCTCAAAGCTACCAAAGTTAATGAGCTGCTTACATTAACGCAAGGCTTAGGTGCGTTAACATCATGTTGGCATAGTCATAACACGATCTTAACATAGCACGTTCAGTAAGCTAGTTTTGAGCTGTACTGTAGCATTTTAACTAATCTAATCAGGTTGATTAGGAAATTTTGTTTAATATAATTATTATTCACTTCTGTCAGGAACAGTCAGGCAGGGCAGTCATGTTTCCCACCCAATGCAGTCAGGGGAACATCCACTGTAGATCAAAACTGATTAGAGTCGCATGGAAATTGATACTGTATTCTTGATCACTGTAGGTTCTGCCCTCTCACCTCATCCATCAATGTCCCCTGCAAGTAATCAGATGCAGTCAAGTAATAATCTCCCATCATATGCTGCAGGTAGTCCAGCTCCACCACAGTCATACCAACGCTCACCAATGCCACAACAAGGTGAGATTCATCTATCAGCTCATCATTTCACAACTCATTTTTATCAGCCATGTTGTACATGTATGCTGGGAAATAATAGTTTCATATGAATGTAGTGGTTGAGTGCATGCATGCTAATCTATTCAAATAACCTTATGTAAATTTTGCTCAGTTTTCAAGGCATAGATTGCGTACTACTGTACTTGTCAAATGAAAAAAAATTGTCAGTTTGGTGATGAATTATAATTAAGTATTGTTACTCTTGATAACCTAGGCTCGATGATGGCGCAGCAACAAGGCGTGTCTAGTACACAACAATCACAGCAACAATATGTACAGCAAAGGTATCCTTCTCAACAAGGTGCGCAGATTATGGGTGGTCAACAGATGCCGTCCTATAGACGATCACCTCAGCAAGGTAAAAAACAACATCATCATAGTCGTAACATGGTCAGAAATACTTCTAAATAAAACAATGGAAGAGTTAGCAAACACAGACTGATTTCATTTGTAACTGTCATTGTGGTTACCTTTCTGTGCATGTTTCACCAATATCTCAAGAACCACTTGTCAGTTTATGAAACTTGGTACATGGAACCACTCAACAGATGTCAATGAATTTTGGTACATATAAGTGCTCCAGTATAATCCACAAACATGTTTAGTTCACGGATCAAAGTTGGTATGATGATCATACACATTGGGTTGTAGGTTCGTGATTCAAACAAATATGGCCGACTGGCGGCCATTTTGTTTTTCATGGTATCCATGCTACTTTCTCTTGAATGCAATGAACGTTTCTCTTTAAATTTTGTACAAAGATAGTATACCAAGGGATACATTTGTACCAACATTATTTTTGTGATTAGATTCAATATGGCTTACCGACTCCCAAATTTCCTGTAAAAGCGTTAAATCGTCATTTTTTACATGTCCAGAGCTGTTTCTCAGAGATGACTAGGCCAATTTAGATCAAAGTTGATATGTTGATCATACATAATGGGTTATAGGTGCATGTCATATTTTTTCGTGATTCGAACAAATATGGCTGACTGGCGGCCATTTGGTTTTTCGTGATACCCATGCCTACTTTCCCATGAATGCAATGAACATTTCTGTTTAAAGTCAGTATACCAATAGATACATCAACATGAACATTATTTTTGATTCAATATGACTGCCCAATGCCCAATTCTCGTATAAAAGCACTAAATCATAATTTTTTACAAATCCATCTCCTATTAATGGTTTCAATCTAATCTCAACGACTTCATCATGCAGAAGTGAAATTCCACTGTTGATCTGTTGGCGCTGATTTCTAAAAAAAAAAATGGTGATTCGCAATTTTCGAAAAGTAAACTGAGTGTGGAGGAATTATTTAAACACCTTTCATGGTCGCCAACATGTCACGTCAAAGAATAGTTTACTCATTCACACTCCATTCACGATAGTCTCAATGGACACGGTTATTTGGAAAATTGACCAGGTTTCACGTACCAAACTACCATTCTAAGCATGACTTTTATGCAATGAAACGCATTTTTTACACGCATATTTTAATAAATGTCTGGTAAAAACACCCTGGGCTTATAATCGGCGATGCATTCAACTCATTAAATGTCTAAAAATAGAGGGGTGGGCTTATGATTGGGGAAGTAAGATATTTAATTTACATCTCTTATTATGATTAGTTTTTGGTTGAAAATGTGTACAAAATAATGACCTAATTTGTATATTAATAGTTTAGGTCTTGGCTCAATTTTGAATTAATTTAACTAGTTAATTTGCATAAATTGAGTAATTTATGCAAATTAAGTAGTTGAAAATAATTAACACAGACCATTCAAATATAAATTATACTTGGTACATATGTGCTTTTGGATAATTGACAAACCTGATAACTGGTTTATAATTCATGCATTTTAATTATCATTCAGTACACAGAATTATTTCCATAATTGATTTTGGATTTAATATTTAGGCTGTATGTTTTATTACCCTTGATAGCAGAAAACACACTTCTTTATAACCTCAGTGCTATTAACATTGGCAGTGTTTTATTAGAGTTCCATGTTGTTTTCATCAGACCCCAAATTAAAATATTTCGATGTTGCAATGTTACCAATTGCTAATTTGGCAGTGAATTGTAAATTTATATTTTTCACCAAATGTAAAAATGTTACTATAACATTGTTTTCAGGTCAGCAGTATGTTGGCCAACAACAAGGATATAACCAACAGCAAGCAATGCAGTACCCTAATCAGCCACAAGGGTATCCTCCACAGCCCTCTCCACAGCAGGCTCCACCACCTCA